ACAGAATAGTATTATATTCCTTCTCAAAAAAATACACAAACCGTGTTAACCAGCCACACAGCATCCGTAAGGAGTGAAAAAATACTACTATTTCTGATTAATGGTTGGAAAGACAAATGAAATAATTAATTTGCATAAGTAGCACAGCACTTGAGATTCTGAGAAAAATTAAGATATCTGACTCCAGCTCTGAGCGTTGTATCTCAAGGATGTGAAATCCAAAATGAGGGCTCCATTCTCCACTGCCAACCATTGCTACTCAGTAATACTGCTTAAAATCTCATGTACTTTCATGCAAATTTAAGGTAGCAATCTTATCTCTTTTCAAGAAATAGCACCTGATGCAGTAGTGCTTGCTATCTTGCAGCCTTTCAACTTAGTTCCACAAGTAATCCAAATGTTATGAAGTAATGTAGGAAAGCACAAACACAAGATTAGCATACATATAATTATTTGCAAGTTTAATTAACTTCTTTTTTTTTTCTGGAAAATTTATTGCCCCTCTGAACACTTGCAAATCAGTAAAGAGCATTGCTAAGAAACTGTGAAACAGAGAAAGAGGGTCAAGAAGTAACAAAGATGAAGGGGTATCTTTTAGTTTTGCCCTGCAGTAACTACTTGGTTCTTGTAACTTCACAGTTGCAATGAAAGATAAAAATGAGACAAACATGACACTGACCCTGCTCAAAAGTATTCAAATGTTTAACAAGCTGAATATACAAGGTGAGTTTGAGTATTTAAATATTCCTGTGGGCCCTGAAGCTCAAATTTTACATCCTCTGAATGCCCCTTTGAGTTTTCCACAGTAAAGGTTCCTACATTTCTGACCACTGTACATCTAGGCTTGTCTGTCTTTTGATATTTTAGTGCCTATGTCAAGTCTAAGTAACAGAATGTTTTTTTTCTACCTGGGCTCAAACATATTATCTCTGCAGACCTTGCCAGTCTCCTGACACATGAATTTCCTCCACTTCCTTTTCATGCAATCAGTTTCTTCTTTGGGAATGAAAAATGAAATTATAGACATTAATCAGCAATTCTCATAAGTGCTAGCAGAACCCTCAGTTTCATTTTTATGCTGTTGTCTCTGCTGTAAATGAATTGGGTGCAAAACACTTTCCCACATGGTGGCCATTAAAAACAAGGGAAACAAAAGACAATTTCCATAATTCAGTATTCATTTTAAACTTCCTAGTTAAATCAGGATATATTTTTGCAGATACATGGCTGAGTGGATATCTGAACCTGGGAGAAGGCTAGTAACCCTTACCTTAAACTGAGATCTATCACTATTCTTGCAGTCCAAACACTCTCAGATTCTCAGCAGCCCAATATATCTTTCCAAGGTAACTTCATCTATACCTAATACATGTATTTAGAGCATGTGCGATTTACCCTTACAGACTAAGTGGAACACAGAGTAAGCAGCCTTCTGAGTTTACTGGGAAATTCCTACTTCATCCTCCTCTCTTCTGTCCTACCAGAAGTAAAGGGAGTCCTTATTTTCATTTTACTTGCCAGAAAAAAATGCCATCACTGACACATTTGGACTTCAGTGTTTCTGACTCAGCAGGATGTTCGCATAAAATGCTGGGAAAATGTGTCTCCTGGGAGATGACTTAACTTGTTATTTCATTTTCCTTTTTTGAGGGAAGAAGTGATGGTGTCAGCAGACATCTTGTGTTTTGATACTTTAGGGTATCAGTACCTTGGGAGGCTTTTTGGGTTGTTTGGGGTTTTTTAGACCGATGGACTTTCCGTTCCAGAAATGATTATCTGCTCTCTCATGCTATGGGGGAAAGACAAATGCATCACTTCATGGTATGTGTTCCTGCATTGTAGCAAGAAAAACACCACCACAGAAAACACACACACCAAAAAACCCGAACAACCTATGCTAAAAAATCTGTAATGATTATGACAAAACACACTATACACAGCTGCTGAGAAATGAAGCTTAAACACGCTAGTCATCTGCTACTCAAAATAATAGGATTACATTGGTGTCTTGGCCAGTGTGGATGATGCAACATCAGCTATAGATTTCAGCCTTAGAATAATATATTGAATAACTCTCCCCAGTACTAAATTCCTTAATGTTAGTGAGAGTTAGCTTAGTTATACTAAACTGTGGCATACTGAAATGTACTATTCATCTTCCCTCAACAATAACAAGGAGCATCAAATTTTCACCTTAAGCTTCTAATAGAAGTAGCTTCTACAATTCAGATTTGAGGAATTTTGTGCAAAATTCAGAATATTACACCTGGTGATGCAACCTCGAGAAGTAGGCTAGTGCCTGCTGGGAGAAGCTGGAAAACTTAAGTTTCTCATGTTAAATGTACTATGATCCTGCAATCAAAGGTCAATGTACAAATATGAAACTAATTGACCTGAAAGCTGATAAGGAAGCTGAAACCTCAGCTTCAGAGAGCTGTTGTGTAAGGCTGAACGGCAGGGCAGTAGGATGCTAGCAGGCAGGTATACTCAGACTACATCTGTCAATTGATTCTATAATTTCCAAGCTTCCACCATGAGGTGGTGGGAGAAAAACCCCATAGTAAGTGGAAAGTGCTGCTCTGATACAGTCCAGTACATCCATGCTTTCCCAGCTCACTGAAATCTTATAGCTTCTCATTCTCATCCCCATGAACTACTCAAGATGGTGATTATCTTTATAAATGCACATTCTGTCAGAAAAGTAGATGTTTTTCAGCACATAGAGGAACTACAACAATAGATCAAACGCAAGAGTTTGGGTTACACAGTCAAATGTTACAGCATTAAGTGCAGCTGTAACAAACAGACTCAGCATTTGCACCCACGGGAGCTTCGCATGGGCACTCCTGTGTGCTTGGTGTAGGGGGAGTCTGGGCGTGATGGCAGCTGAAGGGCATGGCTGTTTATCATAAATCATCACAGAATGGTCCTTACAGATCATCCAGTTCCAACCCCCTGCCATGGGAAGGGACACCTTCCACTAGACCAAGTTGCCCAAAGCTCCATCCAGCCTGGCCTTGAGCACTGCCAGGGATGGAGCATTTGCCACTTACCTGGGCAACTCTTCCAGTGCCTCAGAATCCTCACAGTAAAGAACTTCTTCCTTATATCTAACCTGAACTTTCCCTGTTTAGGTTTAAACCCGTTACCCCCTATCCTAGCACTGCAGTCCCTGACGAAGAGTCCCTCCCCAGCATCCCTGTAGGCCCCCTTCAGATACTGGAAGGCTGCTATGAGGTCTTCACGCAGCCTTCTCTTCTCCAGGCTGTTAATCCAAATCTACCCTCTTTCAGCCTAAAGCCATTCCCCTGCTCCTAACCTCACATGCCCTTTCCCGCCAAGTTTCCCCGGTATGACTGGGCACACCGATGGGCTCGGCCAGCCGCTGGGACGGCGGGAGTCCCAGCCCGGCAAGCCGAGGCGGGGAGAGGAGGAGCAAGGCCGCGCGCCTCCTCGGCCATGGCGCTCGGCTCAGCCGCACGCCACTTGCCCTGCTCGGAACCGGAGCCACCCCGCACGGCGGGGCGCAACCATGTAGGGGAGAAAGGGAGATACGCGGGAAAGAGGACCTGCAGCGAAGGCAGTCCCCGCAAACACCGACTCACCATCACGACCCGCACTCCCCCGCCACCAGCGCCCGACCGACATGACGTGACTCCGGGGCACGGCGCGGCCCCGCGCGGGGAGGAGCTACAGGGACCGAGGTGCAATCGCGGTCAGCGGCCGCCCTCCCGCCCCGCCGCGTACCGCGGAAGGCAGGGGGGAGCGCAGCGCCGGTGGAGCGGGTAAGGTGGCAGCTGAGGTGAGTGGTGGCGGCGGGGGACGGTGGCTGGGTCGAACGAAAGTGTGGTAGGGTCGGGGTAGGGCTGGTGCCCGTGAGGGGCGTGTCTGTGGCTCTCCGGCTCCGAGGGGCCTCGGTCTGGCGGAGCCACGCGCGCCTTGTCCGCAGGGAGCGGGCTGAGGGGAGCCGGAGCCTCTCTAGAGCCGGGCCGGAGGAGAGCCGCGGCTCGCCCGAGGCGGGGCGGGCCCGACTGGGAGCGCCGCCTGCCCGCTCCTCGGCTGCCCGCGGGCTCCCGCCACGGCCGGTCCTGGTGCCTGTTGCGGGCGGATGTTGTCCCTCCGCCCGAGGTAGCGCCCTGCCTACCGGCTGCGGCGGGGAACACCGGCCGCGGTGCCACGCCAGCGCCCTTCGGCTCCCGGCCTCCCCCTCCGGGGCCGGGAACGCAGCTGCTGCTTTCCCAGAAGCTTAAGGCGGACAGTTTGCTCATTTAAGCTTGTTTTTGTGGAGAAGCTGCCTAAACAAAGGGGGCGGGGGATGGGGAGAGGAGCTTTAATTTTAAACTGGTTTCCGGTGGCCTTGCCTTACACTGTTAGCTAACGGGAAACACGGGGTCAGAACCTGCATTTGGATCCACCAAAGTAAAGCTTTGGAGACAAGCGGTTAAAACTCGTCTAGACAACAGCTCTGTCTGACAAAGAGTGAGCGTGCGGCGGCCGGGAGGCACCACCACGAGGTGAAGGTTATAGGGACGGTGGAGAGGGCCCTGTCCGAGGTCTGTTGTGTCCTGTTCCCTGCTGGGGTGAAGAATAGCTCTCATTTTTTACCTTTCCACCCGTAATTCTCTCCTTTAAGTATCTACTCATCATTTGGTAGGTTTGAAAATAACACACCGTGTCCTTAGGACTAAGGAGCCTGGCAAGGCTGTATCTGTTGTGGTGGTGCTGTGTTTAATAGGTATGGGTGAATTAGTAAGCAAGGCATCCATCTATTCTCAGAGTGATTTTAGGTCTTGCTGATTTTGCAGATAAGTGCTGACTGTTTGCTTTTGGAAAATCAGAGTACTGGCTCGATGTCAGTGCCTCCCAACAACCACATCCAGACCAGAAGTACTGTGAAGGCCTATTGTCAATGCTTCATCTGTGACAGCAGTATTTATTTAACAGGGGGATAATGCCACACAGAAAATGAAATGGTGTATTTCAAATTTTTTTAGTTGCTTGGGGGTTTTTATGTCAGCTTCTATGTTTTCCTTCCATTATTAGTTAGATAATTATTTGTTACCATTATACATCATAGAATGGAAAATTCTTAATCTGCCTGTCTGCATTAGTATCATAATGTGCCATGTATATATTTATGTACGTAAAATACCTTCTCTGAATGCTTGGCATTTTCTCTTGCAGTCACGTGAGGTGGAAAACTGCCCATCTCTAATCTTTAAGGACATGATTACAATACTGCTTTCTGTTTTGGACATGTATTTTAATACTGCTGCAATCATTGCTTTGTAGCAGCTGGCGTATACTGAACATGTGTTGTCTTGACTCCTGTGGTTTGCATATTTCAAGATACAGTTGGTAACTAGAGCCAGTTCAGTTATTTGCTTCCTTCCCTGTCTGAGAAGCTTTGGTATTATTTTTATCACTACATCATTATTTTTCTTGTGTCTTCATAAAGAAACCTGATGGTTCTTATGGCAGTGGTGAGATATGACAGTGTTAATTTATTTTCATTAGGCCAGGTAAATAAGTAAATCCAGCCTGGCATGGAATAAAAATATTTTCTTATTTACCTAAACTTAAAATAATAACAAGGAGCAGAATAACAATTTAACGTTAAATTTTTAATTGCTTTGTCCCAGTCTTCAGCCCCATCCTTAAAAGCATGAGATCATCCTCTATAGGGAAATGTGTATTCTACTTGACAGAACATGACATCACTGCATTACCTAAACCAAGATGAGGCAATTCTTAGTAGTCTGTTAGAATCAGCACCAGCTGAGCATTGCTGTTACTCTGACTAGTGCTTTAGAGCAGAAAACATAACTGCTGGTTAAAACGTACATTTGAGTGCCTAGTAACAAAAAGGATATCTCTTTGTGGATGTCTTTTGTTCTTTAAAAAAGTGCAGGTGAATTGGTGCTCAGAAATTGATGGATATTAAAGGTGAGTTACAGATTCTAATCTGAAGATAAAGCGTGTGTTATTTAAAATACCTGATTTATTATGCCCGTTTTTTCTTCACTATCTGTCTAGTTTCTGTAAAGACTCTTAGACAAGCTGTGTTTTACATTGTTCAGAAATAAAGTTCTGTAGTTCATTGTAATTGTGGGGTTTGCTAGCTACTTCAGATTTCATTGTTTCTTTGGGATTGGATCAAGGACAACAGTTCTAGAGGTTTGAGTTTTAAGGTTGCAAAAGGTTTGAGGAGATAAGTCTCAATTTAGGTCACTTAATATTGAAGATCTTTCTTACTGTTTGCAGCATGAAACATTTGTGTTACAGAAGCATTCATGTCCCAGTTTATTAGGTTTCCAGTTTGCCTACTTAAGCCTGCTGCTGTTCACCAGTTTACTAAAACAAATCCCTAATGGAATGCAACAGTTTGGTTGGATTTTCAACTGATGTGAACCAAAGGCAGCCTAGTGATCCACTTATCCTCCCTAAGAATTCCAGGGTCTTACCTATTGGGTGGAATTGTTAGCTTTCCCTATACCTCACCTCAGTCTTTCTCTAAGTAGTCATTGGTAGCCCAGTTGGCAAGTGACTGCATAGTACTTCATTGCTGGTGGGAGTTAAAAGCCATGAAAAATGTAACACAATAAGCTATTCTAGAAATTTTATTTCTAAATATCAAGCTTATTTGATACTTTTGTCATTTAGTTTTCAGGGAATTTCCTGTGTGCTGCTAATTTATGTGATAACAGTTCTTAAGTCTGGAATCATTTTGTGAGCAAGAAAATATCTCATTTACATCAGTGCTCCAAGATACAAGGACGTAGTATTCAGAGTAACTAGATGTAAGTAAATGTCTTATTGTAAGAACCAAAGAAAGAAAGATGGGTATAGATACCATTAATATATCTGCTAAGTGAATATCTTTTAAGTTATTGCATTGTAGTACCTTGCTTTTTTCTTTTCACTTCCAAGCATATATTACTTTATCCTCTTTATCCTCTCTGGCTATTCAGCTTTATGATGCTTAATCCTTTTATGAATCCTGAGTTAAAAGTTAACTTGTGGTAATGTGTTCCATGGGTGCAGAGTAATTGAGAGGGAGGTTTATTGCATTTAAATTGATTTCTGCCTTGGTATCAATGATCATTTCTTGTCCTGTGTTCTGATTAAGAGTAAATAGCAGCCCACAGCACAGAGTTATTTCATCAACTATTTAAAGTTGTGTTGTTGTGGTTTATGTTATTTATGTTGCAGTTGCCTTCACATGGGTTTATGTTATTTATGTTGCAGTTGCCTTCACCTACACCAATTAGGATTGGATCCAGTGATGTTTCAGTTGAAACTGAATGCAGAGAAATTATTTATTTCCCCAGATACTATGACCTGAAATCCAGTCTTCTATGTTAGTCTTTGCATTGATTGGCTTTGGATCTCAATTTCTGTCTTACTGATGTGGAACAATCCATAAATGACATTAACAGTCACAATAACAAAATGATACTGATGCATGTAGGGACATTACAATATTTTAAAGATTTTTTCCAGTTTGTCTCTTATCCTGCTTTTCTTAGGCATTTTTAATGATTTGGCCACAGGGATCTGCAGACTATTTTTCCAAGACTTAATGTAGAATGCAGTAATCTAAAAGAATATTTCATGTTCTTCTTTCAAGTATGAGATATGTGGGGATACTCAGAAATCCTGGGGTTTTTTGGCTGCCAATACTAATACTCCTAGACTAAAGTTATTCTGTGTGAATATCCCCTTTTAACATTAGTGTACTCCCCAGTTCTAAAGAGTTGCTTTCTGATGGTGTAAGGCTTTAATGAAACCAAACAAAAATCTGAAGGTAGCATTTCATATGAGTATAAGCTATCATATATTTCTATTTTCTTATGTTTTCAAGCTGACAATTGAGAGCCATAATGGCAGACACAGGAGATGGCCCACATTCAGGGGAAGATCTGGCAGACGCAAAATCTATTCCTAGAGGTTCCAAAGGGTAAGTGAGCTACTTTTGGTTTAAGTCTTCACTTTAATTCTTGAGGAATCATGTGCTGTAACAGAAGGCGAGAGCCATAGAAGTAATGCTAAAAGCAAATATTTCAATTATGGTAAATTATAATAATCATAAATGACTATTAGAAGAGTTTTACTACTTATGAAAATACACAGTCTCTAACAGGCCATGTATACGTGCAAGGAGCTAAAAAGCAACACCTGAGATGCAGTTAGACTTAGCTTCACAGTATTATCAAGTTGTTATCTGTTCTGAAAAACAGACTTCTCTATCTCACCCTGTGCTAAATGTTCACCCCTTTCCTTGAACTGCTTCTAGAGCTTACCGGAACCAGTGACAGACAGTTCAGCTGCTTGAACTGACCTGCTGGAGGGTTTTATGTGCAGAAGCACAAGAGGAACTTAAAGGGGTGGAAGGAAGGAAACGCAGGCCTGTTCTTCCTGGTTGTTATGCTGGTGTAGCACTATCATCAGATGGCACTCTCTAGGAACTTAATATTTCAATGAAAATTAGATTTAAGAGCATTACAGACTTCTTATCTGTAGAATACCCATATGCTTAAATGAGAAAATCCATACTAAACTCAGCATATATGGACTGAGTAAAATTAACAGATGTTTCAGTCATGAGTGGTGGTATAGTTGGTGTGTTCATTGAGGTAGAATTACAGCTGCATATAGAGTCTTGGTCTTTCTAGGTTTCGAATGTTTATTTGTGAAAATTAAATGAGGAAATGACTTTTGGCTAGAATTCAGAATAGATTTACAATCTCAGAGCTCCTAGTACATAGCTTTCAAAAGATGGTAGTAAAAAAAAAAAAAAAACAAACCGATTTCTTGTTGATATAGTAGTTGGTTTTCTTAAACTGATTTTTTTATGCTCTGCTATGTAGAGGCATTACCATTTTAGACATAGTTCTTCCGTGATTCTTTAAAATTTAAACTTGTAACAAGTTGAACAGAAGATTAATACAACTACAGATGTCTCTTCTCCTCTCCTTCCCTCCCCTCCCCCCCCCCCCCCCCCATTATTTGTGTATGTGCACATTTTCCTGAACTTGAAACAAAAGGTTTATTTGGGAACATAACAGGCAGTTTTATTTATTTTAACCTCTGGGCAAGTACAGTCTTCACTAGTCTTAAATCGGATCTAACAACTTATTTCACAGACATAACTTAGAATCACAGAATGGTTTGAGTTGGAACAGACCTTAAAGATCATCCATTTCCAACCGCCCTGCCACAAGCATGGACACCTTCCACTAGATCAGGTGGCTTAAAGCCCTGTCAAGCCTGGCCTTGAACACTGCTGGGGAGTGGGCATCCACAAGTTCTCTGGGCAACCTGTTCCAGTGCCTCACCACTCTCACAGTAAAGAATTTCTTCTTTATATCTAGAATCACAGAATTGTTAGGGTTAGAAAGGACCTTAAGATCATCTAGTTCCAATCTCTCTGCCACAAGTAGGAACACTTTCTGCTAGACCAAGTTGCTCAAAGCCCCGTCCAACTTGGCCTTCCAACCTCAGGGGATGGGGCGCCCACAGCTTCTCTGGGCAGCCTGTTCCAGTGTCTCTGATGTAAGGAAAAATTTCTTCCTTACATCTAGTATCATAGAATGACTGTATGGTTAAGGTTGGAAAGGACCTTAAGATCACCTAGTTCCAACCCCCCTGTCATGGGCAGGTACACCTCACACTAGACCTTGTCACCCAAGGCTCTGTCCAATCTGGCCTCGAACACGGCCAGGGATGGAGCATTTACCACTTCTTTTGGGCAACTGTTCCAGTGTCTCACCACTCTCACAGTAAAGGATATCTTCCTAATATCTAATCAAAGTCTATCCTCTTTTATCTTAAACCCATTTCCCCTGTCCTATCCCTACATGTCCTATTAAAAAGTTCCTCTCAAGTCTACTTGTAGCCCCCTGTAGATACTGGAAGGCTAATCTAAGGTATCCCCAGAGCCTTCTTTTCTCTAGGCTGAACAAGCCCAACTCTCTCAGCCTGTCCTCATATGAGAGGTGCTCAAGCCCACTGAGCATCTTCATGGCCTTTCTCTGGACCTGCATGAGCAGATCCTTGTCTTTCTTATGCTGAGTGTCCTGGAGCTGAATGCAGTACTCCAGGTAGGCTCTCATAAGAGTGGAGTAGAGGGGGAGAATCACCTCCTTCAACCTGCTGGTCATGCCTATTTTGATGTAGCCCAGGATGCCGTTGGCTTTCTGGGTTTTCTGGGCTTTCTAGCGCATGTTGCCAGCTCATGTTCAGTTTTTCATCTGCTAATACCTCCAAGTCCTTCTCAGGGCTGCTCTGAATCCACTCATCATCCAGCCAACATCGGTGTCTGAGATTGCCCCAGTGCAGATGCAGGACCTTAACACTTTGCCTTGTTGAAATTCCTGAGGTTTGCACAGGCCCATCTCTCTAGCCTGTCAAGGTTCCTCTGGGTTCCTTTGCCTCCAGAGTAAACACACCACTCAGCTTGGTGTCATTGGCAAACTTGCTGAGGGAAGTTCTAGGGAACAAGGAGCAAATCTTACCAATTTCATTGGTTTTGGTTATTATTTTGAAACTAGAGAGGGAAGATCAGAAATTAACACTTTAAAGTTTGTCTGATTTCTATACAGAAAGAACCTATCTGCTAGCAAGTCCATGGACTCTGGAATTGTGCCGGACCACAGTTACAGAATGGATTATCCAGAGATGGGGGAATGTGTAATAATAAACAATAAGAACTTCCACAGAAAGACTGGTACTACTTTCAAATGTTAAAGTTTTTTTCCTTAATTTAGATCGATTAGTGGAATGTAGTATTCTTCAAAATTAAATACGCAGACCAATTTGGGTTGCAACCTCGAATTGTTGTGTGAATGGGTGTGATTCATTCTTCCAAAGGTGCATAGAGGGAACACATTAGGGTATAGCAGTAATGGGGGGAATTTGGTAGGAAAGACAAGTCTATCTTACCATTTAGTCATGATTTCTGTTTTGCAAATAAAATCCTTTTATGTCTTTTATTAGTAGATATAAAAATAAGGAGTAGATAAATCTACAATAAACCTACAGGGAGAGGGAGATTGTGTGCATGTATAACAGTGCAGTACTTTTTCTGTTAAGAGTGGAGCTGGAATAATGTTCCAGACTGATACAGGTAGAAGTGAGAAGAATTTGGCTCAATATGACCATGCCATCTATATCATATAAAAAATAATGCATTCCTCTTACGTATAGGGATGTTAGCCCGTTCGGGTACAGATGCGGATGCTGCAAGTGTCAGAGAAGTTTTTATGAAGCTGGGGTATAAAATAAAGATCAACAATGATCTTTCATGTGTGGACATTTTTGAACTATTGAAACGTGGTAAGTAGTAATATGTTCAGTGTGTGTATTAAATCAACCACTGTTTCCAACTACATCTGTAGCCCTAACATCTCTTCTTCCATGGTTCTTTTAGATAATACTTCACACCTACTGATGATTTATTGCTAAGGATGGCATGTGCATCACAGTTTCTATGTTTGTTCATCTTTGCTGTCTCTTCATCTTTTGTGTCGTGACTGTTGTCTCCGTATCCTTTCTCATCTTCTAAGGAAGGCCAGAAAAAAGGCTGAAACTTAAATGCAGACTGATTCATATTCTGACCCTGGGATCACTGAAGTTCTGTGAGTTGGAAAGAATCCTGCTTAATTGGGTAGAGGGATTCTGTGCTATATGCTCAGTGGTGTGGCCCAAGATATGTTCTCATCCAGGGGCTTCAGATGGAGGGACCAGAACTGCAGGCGTGTGGACTAAATTACTCTTAGAGAAACAATTTGTGTTTTGTTTGACTTGTGAAACAAAACACCCTTTTGTCAACTGAGAGCTTTATACTAGTGTTAGTCTTAGTCCTGCTTTGTTTGGACTTGGCTACATCTAGACTAGTAAATTAAACAATGCCTGGAGATAATCTGTAGCCCTGGAACCCGGTGTATTCTAGTTGCAAGGTTCTCTGGCATGACTGTGGCTGATGCCTACCCGTGCTCTCCCAGACTGTTCCAGGTCACAGTTAAACAGTAAAAATGTTCTAGGGATTATTCCCAACATACAGTTAGCCTACAACAATCATGTTTGGGTTTGGCTTTTTTTGTTGTTGTTAATGTATTTGCTAACATAGATGTCAGTTCTTTCGTGCCAGTTAATGTTTATGTCAGAGAATGCTCCCAAGCATGATTAATTTATTAGCATAGTTGTAGCCAGTCACCAGTATGTTGACAGTAGCTGAAGGTTCCAAGGCCTCTGTCTTACCTTGGTATAAGGCCTCCAAATAGACAGTGTAAACCACAGACTGCAGCCTAACTAGAGATTCACAAAAAGCAGCCTTTCCTGACTCTTCTAGATGCAGTGCTTGTAGAAATGCCCTAGTGTGCATTGCTTGAGGAAAAGATAAATACTTCATTTTTTTTTCCAGAATAGAAATTCAGTGTTCTGGCAAGCTCTAAACAGAAGCTTTTGGGACTATTATGCTTTCCATCTACTCTTGCATCTTCTTGAGTTTCCCGCTCAGAATTCCTTTTGGATCCTTTCTTTTAAACCATGTTTGTGGTTTTTTTTCATATATTTAAAAGAATTGTCTTGATCCTTAAGTACAATCCCCACAATGTCAGGCAACAAAAGACATCAGAGAATATCTGTTCTGTGCTCATTGTGTACCACAAGATGGGGAAAAAAAAAATCTATCAAGGCTTTATATCAGTCTTAAATGTCTGTAAGTACAAAAATCAGAAGCTTGAAAAATCTTTCTAGACCTTGCTAGAGGGCCAAAGTGAAAGAGTGAAGTACTAGAACCTAAGTCCCTGCAGCAGCAACAGCTTTCATGCCACTTTAATTGCCCATGTAATATAAGTAGTTGGAGTGTCTCTGGAAGGAGAGATGAGACTTCCTTATCCTTTCCCAAAACTCAGAACTTCCTATCAGTCCAATCTCAGATCATGAGACTGACCATTACTGCATGAGTGAGGTGTGCCAATCAGACTTTGATACACTGTGGGAACACCCTCTTTGTCTCGTCAGGGTGTTCCTGGCCTAGTTCTGAGGCCATGTCTTAGAATGTGTAGAGTTGGCCTTTAATTTGGGGTTTTCTCTCTCCAGTCTTCTGAATTAAAGTAGGCTGGCTCCTTTTGTTGAAGTAGTGAAAACTGGTTGGAGGTTTCTAAATACAGGAGTTAGTTCTTAAAGACTTCTGTTGCACAGGAGGCATCAAGTGTTCAAAGCTTTTAGGGAATGCAAGAACTTACGACAGTTATCTTTCCTTTTTTCCTTCAAGTTTCTGAAGAAGACCACAGCAACCGAAGCAGTTTTGTTTGCGTGTTGCTAAGCCATGGTGATGAAGGAGTCATCTATGGTACAGATGGCCCTCTTGAACTGAAAGTACTAACAAGCCTTTTCAGAGGTGACAGGTGCAGAAGTTTAGCAGGAAAACCCAAGCTCTTCTTCATTCAGGTGATGTACAGCTGAACAGTCATCATCAAAACAGCTGAATACTTTAAGAAAAATACTGTTCCCATTAATTATTAGTGCAGATAAAATAATTCTGAAATGGATTTAAATGGAATTACTTTCAGAATAAGATTCTCTTCAGGTTTAAAAGTGGCATAGTCTGCCCTATTAGGTACGCAGTACTTGTCGTAGCTGAGATTGCATTATCTTAATTCCTTGGATTATATAAAATCTTTGTAAGCACTAGCCCATCTTGTAGTGAGTTTCACCATAGAATACACCATAGAATTAATACGTATTTTAAGCAAACTGTGCAGTTGATTAAATAAATGCTAGTTAGTTTTCTTCTCTAATAGAAATGTGACATACAAATTCTTGTTATTTTTGTTTTAATTGGAATATTATCATCCTTAAAATGGATGCCTTTATTTCTTTGGTTTTTATTTTATTTCCCATTCTTCTTTCCACCAAATAGGCTTGTAGAGGGACAGAATTAGATTCTGGTATTGAGACAGACAGTGGATCAGAAGAAACGATGTGTCAGAAAATACCTGTAGAAGCAGATTTCCTCTATGCATATTCCACAGCTCCAGGTGAGAAACTTGCAAAGAAATTTTTGTTCCTCAAATCTATGTATACAGTCTGTATTGATGTTGTAAATGAGAACTTGCAGTTGTATCCAGTCAACTGGGTAACCACTTGTTCTCTTTCATGTATTTTTCTTCCCTCAATCGTTCTTTTCTCCCTGATCTGATTTCTTTTTGAGGTAGTTGCTATTCTGAATTCCTACAAAACAAACAAACTAACCCTGAATGTGCATCTTTCTCACTAGCAAACCCTCAAATGTTCATCTTCTATAAGTTTAGTTAACCTGAGTTGTGAATGTAATTTACAGCAGGAAGTAAAAGGTGCATTGATTCTGAGAGAACAAAACAATAGGATCTGTAGATGCATATACAGAAGTAGGTGACAAACACCTACTGCCTATCAATTCTTCTATTTTCACTGCAGCCGTAAGCAAAATCAGTAGCAACAGAGCCAGTAGTATGGCCCTTACATTACCAGCTAGCAGAAACAGGTTTTAGTCTTTAATTCACACATGTAGTCCTGAAGGAAGTAACCCTGAAATCTGTTTTGCATCTTGGCTTCATCTCTCCTGTCACCTCTCCTTCATGCATATGTATTCTGTGAAGAAGTAGTAAGTGATTCTTAGCTGAGACTGTTGCAGTGAAGATAATTTTCCTGCCTTTTGATTTTCTACCTACCTTAAGTTTTCTTAGATTGAAAAAAGATGAGAGGATTAGAAAAATCTTTTGAGTTGCAATTTGGGGAGCTTATAAAAATCTAAATTTTGATTACTGGTTTTGAGTTTTTGTTTGAAAACATGGATTGCTATTGGAAACAATGCTTTGTTTCCCTAATCACAGTCCTGTCCTGTATCAGAGGCTGCTACATCTGATCAGTTTGACATCTCTCTTTTCCACAGGCTATTACTCCTGGAGGAATGCAGCTGAGGGCTCCTGGTTCATTCAGTCACTTTGTAAAATGCTGAGGGAACATGCAAGGAAACTTGAACTCATGCAGATTTTAACTCGTGTAAATCGCAAAGTAGCAGAGTACGAGTCCTTCTCAACTCGGCAGGATTTTAATGCAAAGAAACAGATTCCATGCATTGTCTCTATGCTTACCAAAGAATTTTACTTCCCTTCGTAAAAAAAAAAAAAAATCACCTTGTAATTTTTCAGGGCATGTTTTTAGCTGTAATTTATATGCAATGTTAGTATGGAATACCACTTTTAAGTCTGAATTACTGTTGACTACTTTGTGTGGCATAATGAACTGTATCAAAGTTAGGTATGTCCATTATTAGAAGGAAAGCAAGGTATGGCTGTGTTAGGAATGCAAACTTGAGTAGCTGAAGCACAGGCAAATTTGGAAGTGGTGCTCTGAGTATCTCAAAAAATTAGGAAGAGGAGCCTGAAGGAAGATCACTTATCATATGTATTTGGTGCTATATTTCACTTTCCTGAAGGCACAGAGGAAAGAAATAGTTCTTGAAAATAGTTCAGTTTCATATCTTTGCCAAAAGGAAGAAGATTCAGAATATGATACGTTTACTAATGATGGTAATATGATAGTATTGTCTTTGTACATTTCTTCTGAACTCAGTTCTTGAAGTTTAGGTTATAACTAACCTAAACTGGTTTTATAACTTAGGCATAAACTATGGAAAGTGGCTGTTCCATTTTTTGCATACAATTAGGAACCCTGTTCAGAATACAGTCAAATTTTTTGCTGATCATTTTCTATCTCTTTGTACAGAGTATTAGGTAAAGCAATTATATCAACATGTAGCTATTTCAAAATAAGTTTTATATTCTGACCTTGAAGCTGAGTGACTAAGGGACCAGTCTTCCAAAATTTCCTTTCCTGCAGCTCCCTAAGGGGGGAGCCGTTGGGGCATATTTTGAGCTGTAAGTGTTGGTGAAAAAGGAAGCCTGCATTCTGAACAGGCTGCTTTCCTCTTTCTGGTCATAAATAGGAGTGAGTTTGCTTTGTGCTGTGTGCCTACCACATTTAACCTGTGTGGAAACCCAGATTTGTGGTAATGGAGAAACTTCACTTCTTAACTCTAATATCAGATTGAGAAAATGACAAGACAAATAGTAAATGTGTATATCTTGACTGAATTTTGTGGAACTGGCTTTTACAAAATTGTAAAACATTTTTATTGATGTTTCAGCTTGTCTCAGTCTTTAAGATTAGAGGAAGACAATGGTAAATGATTCTATGGTGCTTGCAAAAAAGACTTAAAACTCTAGCATAAACAATGTTAGCAAATTTGTGTTCAAATCCAGAGGCATTTGGGATTTGTTTTTTTTTACTTAAATTAAATACTGTTTCCTAAATTGTATCATGTTTTTCTATGTTTATTATTTGTTTAGGATCTGATGGCTTTTGCAAATTAATTTTAACTTTAATTATGTCCCTTTTTCTCAAAACACAACTTTCCCTTTTCTTCCCCGTCTGCCTGACCACCTGAAGTTGAAAAGAAGCTGCTTTAAAGCATTGTGTACCCTATAGCAGGTAACAAGAGCTGTGATTGAGACATGGGAAATGCAGGTTCAAAAGTTATGCAAAGGAGGAAATTTTAAACAACATTGATGAGTTCTCTGCTGACTGCCTGCTGAATAGGAGGAATCTTTACTCTCTTGTAGAAGTCTTTCATTAGAAAGTGTTAGTCTATTTTAACTGACTAAAACCTCAGTTGCAGGCAGATTTTATTACCCACACTGCTGTTGAAAAACTAAATAGGGCCCTGTTAAACATACCTAAAAATAACATTTACAAAAACCTGTATGTAGGTTTCTTCATGTAGGTTGTGAATTACAGCGAGCAGCTGCACAGTTATATGTTGTAAATGACTGACAGTGCTTCAGTTAATCTATGCCAAAGTAACTGGGAATAGGCATGTTCCTTGAATTCTTAGTTATTTTGCAATGAAAAAGTCCTGTCACAGAGTCTGCTCTTTCCTCAGATTTAATCCTTCTTGATCCTTCTTGGTCCTTTAAAGGATAAATGATTCTACAGCTTCTCCAATAGTATTTAAAATACAGGAAACCAAAGCTAAGCTACAAGTAACCAGTCATTTAGGAGGACGTAGAGGTAGGGCTTAGGGAAAGAGGTAGTACGCCTGACGATCCCTTCCTCTCAGTGCAAGACCTGACAGTAAATTCCTTCACAGTGACAGGAGGGCTGCTGTTCAGTCAGTGGGACCTGTGGGTGGAGACAGAGTGCGCTGGAGAAGGGAGAGCAACAGTGTCCTTGTATGCTCGCTCCTTTTGGCAAGGAGGTCTGACTTGAGCTGGCAAGCCTAGTTCATGGTAGTTGGGAAAATGAGATCTAGTCGAAAAGTTGAATTCAGGAAAGAGGCAGTGGGGTGGGAGATTGTAATAGAGTAAGCGTTTAGGAAAGACATGAGGAAAATAGGACAATTTACCTATAGGTTACCTATAGGGTGATGCGTGGTGTGTGAGCACCCCACAGAAATAGATGAAGGCCACAGTATAGAGGCGCAATTGCCAGTTAATCACTGCAGTAGGTTTTGGCTGAATAAATCACAGAAAATTGGAACACTGAGCTGGAGGAGTGGAAGCAAAGTGAAAGGAGGGATTGTAAAATGTAATGAGAAAGAGGAATCTGCCTTTGAGAGAAGCAACAGGTGACTCATGCTAAAAACCCAGCAGAAAACACGTGTCAGAGGGGAGCAGGATGAGGCTGTTGATGCTGTGTTGTTTGTGTGAGCACTCTTGAGTGTCTGTTTTAAGTATGTGTAGATTACATCACATCAGCCTTGCTAATGGTTTGACCTGGGGACATGGAGTTGCAGGAACCTTACCTGAGGCTGGTAGATACGGCTTGATCTGTTTTTTCCCTAATGTATCTTCTGAAAAAAAAAACAATAACAAAGCAAAATACCAAACCAAAACCAACCAACCAACCAAACAAGACCCCAAGCAAAGCTTTGGGACAACACTGTCCAACACACTTCTGAAATGTGAGGGAGGCCACTGTTTAGTTTTTCCAGAAAGGGACAGCAGCACTTTTGCTATGGCAAGAGGCTGAGGGAGCTGGGCTTGTTCAGCCTGGAGAAGAGAAGGTTCTGAGGAGACCTTATAGCAGTTTCCAGTACCTAAAGGGGGACTGCAAGAAATCTGAAAGGGGGACTTTTCATGAGAGCATGCAGTGACAGGACAAGGGGGAATAGTTTTAAGCTGGAAGATTTGGTTTAGACATTACGAAGAAATCATTCACTATGAGAGTGGTGAGGCCCTGGCACAGGTTGCTCAGAGAAGTTGTGGATGCCCCATCGCTGGAAGTGTTCAAGGCCAGGTTGGTGGGACACCGTCCACTAGACCAGGAGCAACCTGGTGGCAAGAGGGGTAGGGGGGTTGGAACTAGGTGACATTTAAGGTCCCTTCCAACCCAAACCAGTCTATGATTCTGTGAATAAACATTAAATACAGAGACCTTCACAGAGACCAAGGATGAAAGGCTGAGTAAAAACACTTGCATGAAAGTGTTACACAATTGAATATACTAATTGATGGGAACAGTTCATTGCTTCCCTGGGGAAGGCTTTCACGCAAAGTGTAGCTGCAGTTTCTGAGCTGAGCTGGGAAGCACACACCTGTGTTTTCATGTGAACTTGCACAGCTAACTGGATCATCAGTTAAATCAAAGGCTTTTAAAAAGCCTGACTTTAGTATTTTGCTGATTCAAAAAGCCATGAGACCCACAAACCTTTCCTAAATCAATGGTGGATTAACAAAGATGGCATATGATGCACTTAATGATTTTTACTGTTTGCTCTTCTAGCAAAACTTTTCTAAAAGATCAATTTTATTTATTTCAAATGCATTTGATGCTAAGAAATGGAAGGATGAAGAAAATAAAGACCAAGGCTAAAACCTGGGAGGCAGTTCATGCTGCCTGGTTTATACCAGGTCAAATGCTCCCTTCTGGGTATGCACATCCTTATACTGAACGCAGTCAGTCCATCCCCTTCCCACAGTAGCCTCTGAGTGCATATTTCAAATCTAGTTTTGTTAAAAGGAAAAAAAAAGGGCATGCCAAGCACTGATCCTGGTACGTCCTGTGGAAAAGGCCTGCCCTTGAGATAAGAACCCACACTTCTGGTGCTCTGCTATCCCAGCTGAAACCGGGACACTCCATAACAGAATAAAACCCATGCAGATTACTCAAAAATGCAATTTTTGTGTTGCTCAGATTGGAGAGGAGAAGGTTCTGGGGAGACCTTATTGTGGCCTCCCAGTACTTAAAGGGGGGCCTAAAAGAAAGATGGGGAGAGGCTGTTTACCAGGGCCTGTTACAATAGGATAAGGGATAATGGTTTTAAACTGAAAGAGGGTAAATTCAGACTAGATATAGGGAAGGAATTTTTTACCATGAGGGTGGTAAAACAGTGGAACAGGTTGCCCAGAGACTTGGTAGATGTCCCATTGCTGGAAACGTTCAAGGTCAGGTTGGGAGAGGCTCTGAGCAACCTGATCTAGTTGAAGATGTCCCTGCTTATTTCAGGGGGTTGAAACTAGAGGAGCTTTAAAGGTCTTTTCCAATCCAAACCATTCTATGATGCATTAGCTAGTTATTAGATCCTTTTATATATATATATAATGCATTCCTCTTGGAAGTATATATGGTTTCTCCTTAATTTTAAACTAGATTACTATGCATTTATATGCAATTTATATTTTTAATTATAATTTCACATTTATTTATTTTCTGCTGAAGCCTGGCAGTATGCATATGAAATCACTTTTAGAGATATTAGCAGTATGAGTAATAATGGCTAAATTATGACAGTATCACAGTATCACACAGTATCACAGTATGTTAGAGATTGGAAGGGACCTCAAAAGATCATCTAGTCCAATCCCCCTGCCGGAGCAGGAACACCTAGATAATGTTACACAGGAATGTGTCCAGGCGGGTTTTGAATATCTCCAGGGTAGGAGACTCCACAACCTCCCTGGGCAGCCTGTTCCAGTGTTCTGTCACCCTCACTGAGAAGAAGTTTCTTCTCAAGTTTAAGTGGATCCTCTTGTGTTCCAGTTTGTACCCATTACCCCTTGTCCTATCATTGTTTGCCACTGAGTAGAGCCTGGCTCCGTCCTCGTGACACTCCCCCTTTATATATTTATAGACACTTATAAGGTCACC